GAGCGACGTGGTCAAGCAAAAGCTGTTATGATGTACCGAATAGTGTACCAGCTCATTGACATTCCACCACTCCTCCTGTGTCCAGCCACTACAACCAGGGGAAACAGCATGATGTTCCTGGTTCTTTATGCCAGAATACTGGTGTACCAATAATCATTTTTTCCGGATGGTATTCGTTACTTCCACCTCCCTAGATACTGTGGTTTCATCAATTTTCGTGGATTTTATAAAAATGACATTTTCGAGGGTACGTAATTTCGTGGACAAAAGCATTGCCTAATCAGATAAATAGCATATTTCTTTATTCAATGAACATTTAATTTGTGGATATGCTCAACAACGAAATCCTCTAAAACTGGTGCTCAACGAATATTAATAAAACCACAGTAGCTTCAAATCGAAACTATCTATCCACATCACCCGACCGTAAGTTCAACAAATCTATTTTACCTGCACTGTACTTGTTTATTTTTTAATTCACCTTGTTTTCCTTGCACCATCATGCGCCAGAACCTCTGATTAGTATTTATTGGAAGGAGAAGAAGAATATCCTCTATAAAGAACCTTCTCGAGATAATCACATAGAAATTGTCATTTCACTCTTCAACACAATCTGCAAACGAACAATAAATCAATATCTTAGAATCAAAACATTACTATGCATGACTGACACAATATAAATACGCACACCTAAGTAAAATTTGTAAACCACATTTTGGAGCCCAAAGTTATTTTGATAAGGATAAGGCTAATAGCGGTAACTAGAGGGCGCTTAAGTATAAAACCCAGAAAAACCCTTCGGGACACCTGAATTCAAACAAAATGGTAATTAATAAAAATACGCAATTTTATAAGCATTTAGATCACATAAATTCCTTTATATACATAATTACACGTATGCTGAATGCATGATCATTTTAATAATACATGTACTATACCTACTCCAAACAGTATCAGTTATGTAAATATGATAAATATTTACTATGATATATAAATGTAAGCAATATTTAGGCCAAGGATAAGCGTGGTTTGACAAGCTCTCTGTATATTTTAAATAAGTTCAGATATTGCTTATGTATCAAGAAATGTATCATGTATTTTTTTTTCTCCTGCAATATCATTTTAAAAAATTGACCTCCAAATTTAAATTGAGTTTGAATCGGACAGATGTCCGTTAAATTTACCAATATTTGATGATTTACATAATAAGCCTTCTAACAGATGTATTTATTCAATTATTCATTCTTGATCTTAAACTATAAGCTCAATATCGGGTGTATCAGTCCTCACTATATCATTTTCAATATAAACCAATAATGAAATGGTTCGTACATTGAAATCGTCAGTAATTATGATATTGCTTATTTCTGTTTATTTTTACAATTATACATTTGTCAACACTCTGATTAAAATCAGATCCTTTGATTCGCTCATATAGGTAAATGATAAAAGGTAATGATCTATGTGAATGGGTCAAAGGATCTGATTTTAATTTTATCTTTCCTTTACCCCAAAATAACTATATCTATTAGAGCATGGCATAAGTAACGAGAAGCCTTAAAGCCAATTCTAAGGAAAGCCATAGGGGGTCCCATGTCTTGTTCTATTCGTATATTTCATTGAAAATCAATCCTGGGTGGTTAGAATAGCAATCCTGACAATGTCAAGATTTAAACATTATCAAGTCATGATTTTATTAATCTTAACCACATCAAGATTGATAACATGGCCATCAAATATATAGAATGTGACATGGGGGTACCCTCTGGCTTTCCATACGGAATTGACAATATTGCCATTCTATCTTGGCTAGGTCATGATTCAATCTTGACCAAGTCAGGATTGATAACATGGCTTAGTCATGACTGATAATATGACAAAGTCAAGATTGATAAAATGGCAATACTATCTTGGTCGGGCCATGATTCAATCTTGTCCAAGTCAGGATTGATAACATTGCCATGATATATTATATATGCGCCAGGATATATTACTTCCAAACGCATCTAAGATTTCTTCATGTGTCAATCCTAGCCAAGTCAGGATACATTGTCAAGCGTCAATCCAGACCACCTTGTTTCTTCAAACAAAGTGATTGACTGTCAAGATTTATGGCCATTATTGCATCGCACCAGGATGTATTACTTCCAAACCAGTCAAGATAACTTCATACGTCAATTCTGGCCAAGTCAGGATACATTTTCAAGCGTCAATCCTTGCAAAGTTATGATGTGTTTCTTTAAACGCAGTCAACATTTATGGTCATGATCGCATCGCACCAGGATGTATGTCTTCCAAGCGCCGACCAAGTTTTTATTGAATGTGTTTTTTTAAATTCAATATATATCATAAAAAAAAAACATTTACTATAAATCAGAGACTTACAAGTTGTAACGATTCGTTGAAGAAAAACGTTGGATCTCGGTTCTATCCAAAGTCAAATTAGAATATTTTTAAGTTTTGGAATTTTCAAATTTTTGTTATCAAATGCTTTTCGAAATAAAATGTTATAAAGCGCCAGAGTTTTTCTGTTAAATGACAATATCAGACAAATCCTTCTCTATGTGATTATTCATCGCCACGCAACATATTCATGAAACATCGAATAAAGAAATTTTCTTACGATAGAATTAAAAAAATAACTCTTAGAAATAATCTAAATGGTTGTTATGTTATTGCCTTGATTTTGATATAAACAATATCACACCACTGTTTTGATCTCGTCCCTGGTATCAACCCTTGGATGGTCTCGGCCTGCGCCCTCCGGGCTTGGGCAAATACTATCTGCTCGGACTGATACCAGGGCCGAGATCAAAACAGCAGTGTGATATATTCTATATATCCTTTTGCCTGCAGCACAAAATAATACAAGTACATACAAATTGGATGAAAACGGTACGTAAATATACCTTTCTCGATACTATTCACTTGACATGACTTTGATTAGAAACTTGTTGGTCTTCGCTTAAAAATCCAAAGCGAATTTTTTTCGAAGCCCTTGTTTGGTATATACTTATTGATTTTTTTGAAATATCTGTGCATGTTTAGAAGAATTTTAAATGTTAAAATTTAATGGATATGTGCCGGGATACATGTAGAATACTATCACCGAGCAAATTTAACATTTTTGAAATAAATGACTTTTTAAATATTTAATACTGAATTCGGACTTTAATCTGTGAAATTTTTTTCTGTCTTACTATGTGCTTATTTGTAGTAATTCTTGTCTTATTTATCTCATTGCAGCCCGGAGGACCGGGCTGCTCTCTACATATAAGATTAAGTGTCGGTGTATGGGGATTGGGGTGGGAGTAGTTAATCAGAATTGAGGTTTTCTAAAAATTAAAATGATTGTTAATCAGAATCTTTCCCTTTATAAATCACGAGATATATAATATATTTACTTCCATAAAGTGAATCTTTAAACATATATATGTTTTTCATATTAACTATATAAAGTTGCATATCATTTACGATCGAAAAAACGACAGGTCCTTTTTTTTTAGAATATCGAATATTACTTCTCGCAGAAAAAACGTACTCTGCACAGTTCGTGTTTTGTATTCTAAAATTGAAATTAAATACATCTTTGAATATGGACGATGCATGTGTCTAAATTCAATTTATATTTTATGCAGCCAACATTTACTCGATTAATTGAAGTTTAAAATGGTATCGTTTTTGTTTGTTATTTATCCGACTATAAGTTTTCAAAATATTCGCGACTGTCATCTCCATCTTTTAGCCGCATGCCTTTTCACCCATATCGAAGCAGTTTGATGATCAAGACTCATTTCCATTGTTTACTTTTTTTTTCACGGGCGACAATTGATGGTTACATCAATGTTTTCTTGTTCCCTTTGAAATAGGATTAAGACATTTCAATTGACACTCTGTGACTCTGTCAACATAACTGTTACTCATTAGGTGGTAATGCCTCGGGATTTTTTAATCCTGTACTAATAACTTTATTTTTACATTTACTTTATAACCTCTTTCAGTATTAAAGAAACACATATGCCCATCAATTAACTCAACTAGTGTCAAAAGTCAATTATTGTTTATTCCTAATCTCTACAGTTTGGAGGCCCGTTGCTTTACCGGCCACACCCAACTCGATTACATCCAAGTCTCGTAAGATATTGTTAAAATTCATGTTTGTTATTTACCATCGTCTTTACTAAATTTGGAAACCTGATTTTACCAGTTCTTGAACTTTATATGAGAAGATCATAAAGAATACGGTACCTTTACCCTCTGCGTTCTTTGCTCGTATATGCTCGTGCCCCCTCAACAAAACTGATGTCTGTGGACCTTTTTTTTTTGCTTGACAAGGAATTTTGGTGGTTGATAGTGACCCCCCCTCCCCCAACTGAAATTGATTTCTACGGACCTGATTTATATATTATAGTTCTGAAAAGATCATGAATAAATCACATTATTTTACTTATTGCTAATTATGTTTATTTCCATCAGGTTTCTGTCTGATTTGTAGATTACGGAAGAGTATTAGTGCCATTTAAAAACTTTTTTTTATTTTTACACTTAAATCTGTAAATTTTACACTTTAATCTGTTAATTTCACACTTTAATCTGTTAATTTTACTTTAATCAGTAAAATTTACACCTTAATCTGTACATTGTACACTTTAATCTGTAAATTCTACAGATTAAAGTGTAGAAATTAAAAAAAAAAAGTGAAGTGTCCAAGTGACACTTATACGCTTCCGTAGTAGATGTGCCAAGTATGTAACTTGATATCAGATTTTCTGTTTCTGTCCTTATCGCTTTCTTTTCCATGTTTCATCAACACCAAATACTAATTCTGATGTAAAAAAGTACGCATAAACCATATGACATGTCGTAAATGTACCTTTACCCCAAAAATAGAAGAAAAATACTGGTAATTCTGGGTCGTTTTAATATCCCTACTGTATCATTGGTCTGTTCTATATTTATTGCGGTCACATATACCAGGAAGTTAATTCAAACAAATGTAGTAGTGAGGAATAAACATTAACAATGCCGAATATACAAGTTAAAAACAGAAGAAAAATTCTTGTTTTTCTTGTGCACTTTACTTTTCTTGCTGTTTCGACAGAAGGTTAGTAACTTTTTAGGTATTATGATAAAAACACACGTTTTATTGATATGAAACATAATTCTAAGGGCGTAACCGACTTAATGATAACACTGTGTCAATAAATATAGGAAAAGAAAGGCGACTGTTTTATGCCCCTGTAAACGATGTTTCGGGTGTATATAGTTTTTGTCGTGTCCCTCCGTCCGTCTGCTTGTCTGTCTGCTGTCTGTCTGTCTGTCTGTATGTCGCCAAAAACTTTTATGACTTTCATATTTCACATGTGTTATCCTTGTCACAAGAACTTTCTTTGGGCACCACAAATTTTGATACTTTGACCTTGACCTACATTTGTAAGAGTTTGACCCGCTTTTACACAAAAAACCAAACTTAATATATCCTTTGAACATTAGATACCAGGAACTTTTATACTTCACGTATATATTCTATTGGAAAGACCTCTGATTAAATACCAATAACTTTGACCTTTTGTTCTTGACCATGGAGATTTCGATACTTAAGAAAAAACTTTAACCTTCTCCATAGCTTTCGAAAGATTAGGGTTACTTCACATGTAATCTTTGTAAGAAGATCCTTCATTGGATACCTTGACCCTTTGGCCTTTAAGTTTGACCTACTTTTTAAAAAAAAACCTTGACCATAACTTTTTAAGGATTAGGGTTAGTGCTTTCATACTTTACGTATCTAATCCTTGTGACACAACCTTTTATTTGATATCAAGAACTTTAACCTTGGAGTTGGACCTACTTTTTAAAATTTTTTACCTTAGCTATAATTTTTGAAGGGTTAGGACTGGGGCTTCCATACTTTACATATGTATTTTTTGTGGCAATAACTTTCGTCGGATATCAATTACCTTGACCTTTGGACTTTGACCAACGAGATTTCAGTACCAAGGAAAACACTTTTTAGTTTAAACTTCGCAATATTGCCTTACGGGGGCATCAGTGTTTTCACACACACTTTTTTGCTTTTCACAAACACATAATGCTTTTTTTTTTTTAACAAAATGGGCTTGCTATATATAATATTTATTGTTCACAAGAGCCAGATATTAACCTTTCATGCGCATTTTACACTGATTACCTCATTTTCTAAGGCAAGGTGGCGAATTTAATGGCCAGACCTCATTGCCATTTAGTTTCGCAATTGATGAATGACATAATAATCCTAACAAAATGAAGGTTTCTTGTCGCTCCTGAATAATCATTCCACTAACTTAAAGTATACAGTTTTACGGAAAAATTGTTTGTTTGTTGTTTAATGTCCCTCTCGATAATTTTTCACTCATATGGAGACGTCACCACTAACTGATGGAGAGTACAATGAAGGTTTCCTACTGTTTTTGAATAATCACTGTTCTGAAAGTACAGTTTGACGAAAAAAAAATTGGTTGTCCCTCTCGATAATTTTTCTTTCATATGGAGACGCTACCACTAACCTATGGAGACTGCAAATTTTGACCCATACTTGGCATTTAGGGCCAATGAGCAGTGAAGGATCTTTTACGTATCAGCACCTACTGCGACACAGGACATCGGTTTATACAGCCTCATTCGAGGAACCGGTCTCTACGTTCCACAGTAGGATTTGAACAAGGAACAAATTCTGTAAAAGAAAGAGAAAATGACTTACACCTTAGACGAGATTGAAACGAGATTAATTAATAAATCATTTACATGTTGTTTAACGTTCTAAAGGAGACATCACCATATACCGGTGAAGGGCTTCAAATTTAGACATTTATTCGGCAATGGGAAGTTCCGAATCATTGAGCACTCAGCAATCAGGGATCTTTATCGTGCCAAAGCCTGCGGAGCCTCGATTTTTAAGAACTCACCAGAAGGACTCGCAACTTTCACTTTAAGGCTCTTAGCGCATGACAAAGGAACAGTAGCTACTTATTTGTCTCTTTGTTTTTGTTATCGGCTTAGGTCAGTCGTATAGCTGTGATTTGAACTCGCGGCCTACCGACCATGCACTTAGTAAACGATTAAGCAACCGCTACTACTGCGTACGTGAAAGTATGACTGAAAGGTCAATTTCCATAGATCTTTTATTTTTTCCACCCTATTTCTTAAATCAACAGAATGCTAGTGCTTTGAAAGAATTCGAATATTTTCAAATTTGCATTTATATATAATAAGAGTCGCAGGAAGAGTGCCAACCTAGAAGGCTTCGAATTTAGTACTGTTTCTCCGTTGATAAATTATTACTTTGTAAAAATTGAAGTATCAGTTCGTGTAGAAATTAGACAAATTGTGTAATATAAAGTGGTATATGAAAGTTTTCAAAATTTGATGAAATTAATTTCGGTTGCTTATAAATGCCCCTTTCTGAAAATTGCAGAATCAAGTGCGGGAGATTCCGATGTCCCCGAGAGCGATGTTTTCACACCGTTCAGTTAGCATAAACGCCTCGGGTGTATCTCGTAAACTAGAGATGGTACCATTACAATTTTCCACAGAAAGTTGTAAATGACTATAAGTATCCTACTCTCGAAGTTTCAGAGTCAAGGGCAAGAGACCTCGATGATTCCGAGTTCATTTGCATAATTTACTGATAAATAGAAAATATGTCCGAAAGACAATAATAGTATAGTTGGAATAGAACTTGAGGGGTGTATCTCGGAAACTAAAGATAATATAATCAAAATTTATTTTTTCAAAGAAGTGATTAAGGACAATTAGCACCCTACTCTCGAAATTACAGACCCAGGACCTATGTCAAAAGATAAATTGCAAAATGCGTTCTAGAATCCCTTTCGCGTTAAAATTGCAAACTATTCTGATTGCTAGAAATAATTTAGTTATGAATTATCAATACTTGATCATGGATTACGTTTTATTCACATCGCATGAGGAAGTTTACTTAGCAGGAAGTGCAGACATTTATACTGTCGACCTTGATCTTGATTTTACTTTAAATTAATAGTCAAGAAATGATATAATTATTGCAGAATTCAAAGGTTTATCTAATGGAATAAACCTATTGGGGCTAGAATATTTTTAAGACTTCCAATATATCTGTAAAACTTATTTTAATTTGATTAAAGATGAATGACAAACCTTCTTGCATATTTGTAGGTGTGTTTTATATGGAGGCTGGTTCTACTGTGTGTTTACCATTCTCCCAAAGTGATAACACTAACACAGATAGATCGATAAAGAGAGGAGACAATATTCTGTGTGTACAGTTTTCAGGATCCAAAGACACGGGCTTCACATATGATGTATTATCAAGACCATTTAATTGTACAACAAATGACTCCACCATTTCTGTGTGCATTAATGGCATAACAAATGATGTACAGGGAATGTTTAAGTATGTTATAGGTCCAGTGGAGTTGGAGAACGCAACACTCTTGATAGCAAGTAAGTGACAATTTGCTCCATTGTTGGTTTATTTTTTTATTAAAGCATAATCACTATTTCAAAACTTTTGTAAATGTTGATACTTTAAAATTAATCATGCTATTACATATCAACTGTATATCTTGAATATAATTTTGTTAAATTTTTAAGTATCAATTCAACTCGGCCTAAAGTTGTGACTACTTTACCTCTTCTGTACATCGTAAAAAATCGTATCTAATGTAAAGGTTCAGACCGAATTTATTTACTTTTCACGTGTAGAAATACAATATCTCCTTAAAACTGACTGAGGAGAAACTAAATAAACGTAATTGCTGATTTTAGCTCATGCCATAAACTAAACCCTACACGGTGGACTACACCTATCAAATGTCTCTCTTGCATACTATGTTCCTAAATACTTAGAGTTTAGTTAAACAATGATGTTTATTATATGTATTATCAGGAGCGGATCTAGATAATTTTCAAAGAGGGGATTGAAGTGTTAGGTTGAAAAGGAAAGAATTTTACATGTATATATGATACGTTTACTTATACTTAAACAACTAAAATATATGGGTTTTTTAACTGGAAGGGGAATAAGCCCAAAAAATGAATATGGATTACCTGAGAGTTTTTGAAAAAAAAGAAAATAATTCAGGGACGTATCATCATTTCTTATAGGGGGCATCCAGAGAAAAAATATTCGACTTACCGGGGAAAAACATTAACGACAGTTGCTCAAACTCAAAAAATCTATTCCATGGTGGTTGGGTAGGGAGGATGGATTGGTTCAAACTTCTTTCAGGACTTATTTTTCTCGACCTCTAAAATAAATTATATACTACGTTATACTTAATTACCCTTACGTACTTAACTATATTGCAACAAAAAGTGAGAATTCAACCTTTCCTTCAATGAATACTCCCTGTAGTAAGAAAACTAGAAGTGCTGTGAGCAACGTGCTCACTAAATGATACCCCACCTCCCATATAATTATAATGACAAAGTCCCTGTTCTGCTCTTGGAGACCCGAAATAACTGTCAGATCAAAAAGCAAAATAGGAGGTGCACAATGGCATTATGTAATAAAGAGTTTATAAAAGTATCATTTAATTTATTCAGTGGTACAGTTGTTTGGCCAGTTCCAAATAATTATAATTTAAAGAGCTGATGATAAATAAAATGAAAGGCATAAAACTAAATGATATCTATTTAAGAAGCCTTATTTATGAGTGTTTGAATTATGTAAAGCTTTGTTTTTGCCGTCAGTTCGGTTTCGTTATCGCACTTGAAACAGTCGACATTTTTTTACGATGCAACAAATATGAATCACCGTGACGCGTGAGTCTGAAGAAAAACCTCTGTAGAGACGTCAGTTTTTCACATAAAACAATATTCAAGGGATCAAAAGGAAGTTTGATATGTTCTCTAACAAATACTAAAAACTTGTCTAAAATAAATCTTTAGAACACTGGAAGATATTGAAATATTTTCATGTTGTAATTTTACTAGTTCTGAATACCCATTATAAACACTGGCACCTGACGTTACTTATTTTTTTTAATAAAAAGAATACCCTTACCTAATGATAAAGATATTTTTTATTAAAAGAAAAGTTAGTAACGTCAGGTGCCTGTTATCATAAACACTATTATATAATCATTCTTCGTTGTTTTCTTCATTGTAAACGGGACTTATTATACCCCCCCCTGCTTGTAAAAGGTGTTCCCATCCCCAAACCCCCGATACTAAATGCATGTTGATCGAACCAAAAATCCTACAATTTTGAAAAGCGGGAGGGTATATAGTAATTGGTATCTCCGGACGTCCGTATGTTACGCTTTGGGGTATCCATCTCTTATTCCCAACTTCTCTAATACCACTGAATTTAATTTGATGACACTTTCACAGAATGTTTATTACATATTGCCATTGTGCACCTTCTATTTGAAATTTTGATCCGACATATATTTTGGGTTTCCCAAAGCAAAACACGGACACTGGCATAATAATCAAATGGGAGGCGGGGGTATAATGTAGTGAGCTCATTGCTCACAGTACCTCTAGTCACAATTGATTTCAATAATATATTACCGCATTTATCATGTTTATTAGCCTTTGAACATTTACTATAATATAAACGCAACAAAAAATCGGGGCGCTCTTTTTTCTCTTTCCTTTGAGCAAATCGCAAAGGGGGTTAACCCCCGTAACCCGCCCCCACTGTGTATTATTGTGTAGAGCAAAAATAGTCAAGAGTGCTAAAAGGCTTTGACAATGAAATATGGTGATAACGTTAAGTATTCATGCTAAAAGTTCATTCAAACAATACAAAATAGTAGGCAGAACAAACACGCACCCGTAAGATATGGAAGCAAACAAAACTAAAGGTAATGTGAGCAATGAGCTCACTAAATGATACCCCCCGCCTCCCATATGATTATAATAACAAAGTCCACGTTTTGCTGTGGCCGGGAAACCGAAAATATGTGTCAGATCAAAAAATGAAATAGAAGGTGCACATTGGAAATATGTAATAAAGATTCTGTGAAAGTTTCATTGAATTTCAATCAGTGGTACAAGAGGAGTTGCGGATAAGAGAAAGGTACAAAGTGTAACAGACAGACGGACGGACATACCGATTACAGTATACCCTCCCACTTTTTAAGCGGGGGGTATAATAATATACAGTACCTTCCCGCTTTTCAGGCGGGGGATGTAATCAGACTTTGTTTTAAAGTTTGTATTTTTGTATTAAGGTAAAAATCTTTATAAAAAAATTTAGAAAAAAAAAATAAAATTGTATAGCTGTTTGGAGATTTGAATATTTGGATTTTTGAGGCAGAATATTAAATTTTAGAACACCTGAGTAAACTCAGACTCAGGTGACCTATTGTTACCTGTTTTCGTTCGTCGTTGTGCGGTGTGCGTCGTGTGTTAACATTTGAACATTTTTAGCTTCTTCTCTACAACCACTCAACCAATTTCCATCAAATTTAGCATAAAGCATTTATGGGTAAAGATGAAGTAAAATTGTGAATTTCTTGCCCCCCCCCCCCCCCCCCCCCTGGGCATGAAGGGTGGGGCCAAAACCACTAAAATTAATGAAATCTTTAAAAATCTTTTTCTTTCCTGGACATCAAGCAGTCACACTTAGCATGAATATAATGAGCATTGCGTCCTCTACCTTGTGAAATTCATGGCTCCAGGGTCAGGGGTCTAGTGCTAGGTCGGGGTTCTATTGATTTTATAGTAAAACGCATTATTTCTTCAATAATCTTCTCCTCTGCTCCTAGCCATGGGTATTAGATAAAATAACTAAGTACATTGTTATGATGAGGAAGAACCCATCTTCCAAAATAGGGAATAGGGCCCCAGGGTAAGGGGATCAAGAGTCAGGGCGGGGCTCTATTGCTTATAGAGAGAAAATTCAGAAATTCTTTGAAAATCTATTTCTCTTCTCCTGGGTATTAAACAAACTAATCAAGTATATAGTTTAGATTAGAAAATATTCTCTTCCGAAGTTGTGAATTTTATGGCCCCAGGATAAGGGTTCTATTGATTATGTAGAGAAAATTCAGGAATTCTTTGAAAATTTTCTTCTCTGCCCCTGGATATTACATAAACTAACTAAGTAGATAGTTATGGTGAGCAAAAATGTTTCTTCCTAAATTGTGAATTTTATTATGACCCCAAGGTTACAGATTCTGGTGTAAGGGCAGGGGCACTATTCTTTAAAAATGATCTGTGCTCCTAGGCATAAAACAAACTTACTAAGTACAGTATAGAGTTATGATGAGCAGGATCCCAGATAGCAAGACTATGTTGGGCCAACATTTGTAAAAGGTTGTATGGTTGGCGTTGGGGGAACAACGTTGGGCCAACGTTGGACCAATGTTACCAAGTCAACCTTCTTGACCATGACAGAATTCCTATGTTGGCCCAACGTTGGTCCAACGTAAGCAACTTCCATTCACTCTAGTTCCCAAGGAAGGAAGGATCCTGGTGTTGGTCCAACGTTGGACCAATGATTATAATACACCCTTAAAGAAAAGTGTATTTACAAGTTGGTAGTAGTATGTTGGCCCAACGTTGGCCCGATGTTTGTAATACACCCTTAAAGAATGTGTCTTATCAAGTTGGTAGTAATATGTTGGCCCAACGTTGGCCCATTGTTAGTAATACACCATTAAAGAAAATGTCTTATCAAGTTAGTAGTATTATGTTGGCCCAACGTTGGCCCATTGTTTGTAATACACCCTTTAAGAAAGTGCCTTATCAAGTTCAAGTAGTATGTTGGCCCAACGTTGGCCCAATGTTTCTAATACACCCTTAAAGAAAATGTCTTATCAAGTTGATAGTATTATGTTGGTCCAACGTTGGCTCATTGTTTCTAATACACCCTTAAAGAACGTGTCCTATCAAGTTGGTAGTAGTATGTTGGCCCAACGATGGCACAATGTTTGTAATACACACGTGTTATTATGTTTAGGTGTTTAAAAGATGGGATATTTATGTAGGGCCAACTTAGGCCCAATTATTATACTGCCAATTAATTGATGGTGTCAATTTTATAATAAGCTGCTGAGCTTTACGTTGGGACAACGTTGGCACATTCTGAAATAATTAAGAGGACTTTCTATGTCCATGCTTATCATTGGATGACTGCTCTTGTTTAGATATGATATTTTCAACATTTTAACTTTGCACTTAAGTGATCATAGCACCAGAGTGTTTTATTCTATTTTTTTAATTGTGTTTATGCTTATTTTTATTTGTAATAAACCAGATAGCAGAACATCGTTAGCCCAATCTTACATTATGGTTGTATTATCTATGTTGGGTTACCTTTATTGGGCCAACAATGGCCCAACATGGAATATCGATAGCTGGTTATGTATATGGTACGCTAATGTTGGGCGAACTGTTCACATTATATCATAAAATTATTATCATGAGAGAAAATATTTGTTTGGGGATTGGCATCGGCCCAACGTTGGCCCAATATACCATGAATC